CATGGTGCCGCCTGAGTGTGGCGAAAGTTTCTCGGAGGATTGACAGATGATATGTCTGAAGCTTAGACTTGACAATCATATCATCAATGTATGCCTCGACGTTTCTCCCGATCTGATCAAAGAACACAGTGTTTATCATTCGCTGGAAGGTGGCCGGGGCATTCTTAAGACCGAACGACATGACCGTGTAACAGTATAACCCTTGATTAGTGACGAAGGCCGTCTTCTCCTGATCTTTCTTCCATAAAGGAATTTGATGGAAACCAGAGTAGGCGTCCATAAAGCTCATCAAAGCATGGTCGGCTGTTGAGTTGACCAGGTTATCAATTTTAGGCAGCGGGTAACTGTCTTTGGGGCACGCCTTGTTTAAGTCTGTGTAGTCTACACACATTCGCCAGGTGCCATTCGGCTTTTTAACAAGCACCACATTTGCAACCCAGTCTGGGAAGTAACATTGCCGAATGAACCATGCATCAAGTAGTTTTTTAACTTCGGCGGCTGCCGCCTGACTTCTTTCTTCGCCATGGTTCCATTTTTTCTGCCTTACCGGCTTCTTTTTCGGATCCACAGCCAGTTTATGTACCGCCAGGTCAGGACTAATGCCTGGCATTTCGTGGACTTCGAATGCAAAGATGTCCTTGTATTCTTTCAATAGTTTGTGCAAATCGTCACCAAGGACTCTCAGAGCAGTCGTCCCAACTTTGACTGTTCGATCAGGACGTGAGTCGTCTAAGATCAGGTTCGTATGCTCACCGGCCGGCTGAGGGCGGAATTCGTCCGACCGCTCCTCTGCCAATGATTGCTATTTTCTGTCTTTTCTTGCGGCCCCCGTCTAGTCTCCTTTCTCTTCTTGCTGCCTGCTTCTTGAACAGGCGCACTCTCCTTGACATTGTCAAGGTCTGTTTTTCCACCACTTGACCCAGCGGTCATAACAGTGGGCTTGATATCCGAGAGATAGCACTCTCGGGCCATCCTCTGATCTCCCCTTAGGGACCCGACTGTTCCATTATCCCTCTCAAACTTGAGCAACATAAGAGATGGGATTATAACAGCTTTGGAATTATTCAGGGTTGGTCGTCCCAGAATCATGTTGTAGGCCGAGAGTTCTTCTACTACCAGGAACCGGACTACCATGTGTCGTCCTTCCCTTTTTCACCCAGGCGGATGGGTAAATCCACTCGTCCCACTAGGTGGACGACTCCTCCTCCAAACCCTACTAAAGGGTGGGATGCCGGATGTATGCAATCAGTGTGATATTTTAATTTTGACAAACATTTGCTACTGATAAGATCTGAGGAGCTTCCAGTATCTATAAGGATTCGGCCAACTCTCCGGTTGGCTACTTTACACTCAATAACGATAGGGTCGTCATGCGTCCCCCTTACCCCTCCTAGATCTTCTTCAGTGATGACAATCTCAGGAAATGAATATTTGGAGGGCCGTTCTTAGTGAACGGAATTTACGTCTAGCCGCCTGATATTGTCTTTGTTGCCCCTAATAGTGGGGCCGCCTCCTGAGAAGCCGCCAACAATGGTGTAGACGAATGCATCATCTATATCAGAGCTGTCGGCCTGTTGACTCTTTTAGGCCGACTGCTTTTTTGAGGAAGTGTTCCCCGTAGATTTCTTGACATAAGTGTCAAGATCACCCTGCTCAGCCAAGCGGTCCAGATACCGCATGAGACTGATGCATTCGTTGGTGTGATGACCAACATCTTCATGATAATCACAGAATTTTTCTTGGTTCCGGTTGCTTGCAGAACCCTTCATGGGGACCGGCTTCTCAATTGAGATCCGTCCCTTGATTTCCTTTAGGATAGCTTGGCTATCCTTGTTAAACGCATACTTTGGGGAGTATGGTTTGAATTCTTTTTTCTTCTTCTGGGCCGGCTGTTTAGAGGAATCTGCCGCCCAGACCTCTTTTCTTTTCTTCTCATCTTTGTTCGACAACTAATTCTGTCGCCCTTCTTTTTTGTCGAACCTTTTCCCGTCCGACTGTTTTGTACTACAAAGATCAGTCGCCTGTATATAGGCTTCCGCTTCAATCAAGGCCTCTTGAAGAGTCGCCACCCTCTTTCGGACCAAATCAAATTTGAATGTCGATCCGTCTTTGAGGCCTCTGAAAAAGTCAGTATAGGCTACCTCATCCGGTAACCCTTGGATCTGTATTCTCATCAGGTTAAACCGCCTGATGTAAGAACAAAGCCCCTCCTTCTCGCCCTGCTGAATCGTTCCTAAATCAAGGGTCGTCTTCTTCGCAGGTATGTTCATGGCAAAGTTGGAGGTGAATAAGTAAGCAAGCGTCCTAAAGTTATTCACACAACCAGTCGGCAGGTTGCCGAACCATTGTTGTGCGATTCCTTTGAGAGTCGCAGGAAAACACTTGCACCAAGTGGGATCATCCAACCCTTGAAGGTACATCAGGTTGGTGAATGCCATCAAATGGTCTTCTGGGTTAGTAGTGCCGTCATAGGCGCCTACTAATACATTTTTCACTTTGGCCGGCTGAGCGGCTTCAGCAATTTCCTTGGAGAAGGCCGATGGCTGTTCCCCAAGTCTAAGCAACCGTAGCTGCCAGTCCATAGGTTGGACATTATTTGCTGCATGCCCACCAAACAGAGGTGGCTGCAAAAAATATTGTTGTTGCGGTACAAATGGTAAGTTTGGTACCGCCTGGTCACTATGAAAGCCGGACTGACGGGAGGTGCCGCCTGACTAACTCTCATGATACGACTGAGTATACTTCATCGAGGTATTGCGTAGACTGTCTTGGAAGTTTGAAGTAGAGGCCGACTCTGACAATCGGTCATTCTTCTTCTGTTCTAGCAATAGCCGAGCATCTGTGTATGTTTTCTTCGACCCGTCCGCCTGAATATGACGAATAGGTTTCCTCTTTCCTAGAGTAGGAAAGCGGTACTTTGTGAAATCAAGGGCAGACGGCTCCCACTTCCTAGAGTTAGGATGAGGGGTCGCCTCTCGCCCTTGAACTGGCTTCCTCTTCCCTGAAGTGGAAGGTTTCTTAGCCGACTGCTCCTTGGCCAGGGCAGGCTTCTTGTTGAGCAACTCTTGAATCTCTCCCTTGAAGCCCCTCATGAAGGTCATGAGTTCGTTCCTTTTAATGGGAGCAGACCCATCAGCCGGCTGCTGCTGAACAGGCGGAGCGCCTGCTGGATCACTGAGTCTAGTTTGAAGATGTTCCCGTTCCCTCCTTTCGGTATGGCGGGTGCGTCGGGCCCTTAGGGTCCCGTCTGAAGCTGTGTGAGCTTCAACTTCAAATTCTTCCTCAGTATCATGGTCCGACTGAACTTGAGGGTCGTCCAGGGGACGCCTTTCTTCAGGAGTCGGTACAGACGTTGATGCCATCTCAGAAGTACTCTCCCCACAGACGGCGCCAAGATATTTCGGGGTTTTCTGATGTCTTGCGGGAGAGTTACAATTCCGAGACTGGAACCGGACGCCTGTACCTGCAAAACAAACGGATGCTCCGGATGATTGGAGATCCGCCTCCGACGGTCAAGTTAGTACTTGATTAAGGAGTAATTAATGCGGAAATAAAAGTGATTGAGTCTCTCTAGGTGAGAGTGTTTAATGTGCGTAATCCCCTTTAATGAGGATTAAGGGAGGTATTTATAACCTTGGGAAACGTGCCAATCCTAGGTTTAGGTTAACCTAGGGCTGATTGGGCTTCCCTTGGAAGTTGGGCCTAGGTGGCCGGTTTCTCCATTAGGCATGGAGGATGCCACGTTTCATGACATAATAGGTCCAGGGTGGACGAATAGGCGTGTGCCACGTGGCAAGCCCTAACAGTTCCAACTGGGGGACACTTGGCAGGACCTGATTGGCCCACGTGGCGCATTCCGATTGGTGGGAGCAAAATCCCCTAATCAATAATAATAATAATAATAATAATAATAATAATAATAATAATAATAATAATAATAATAATAATAATAATAATAATATAATAATAATAATAATATTAATAATAATAATAAGGAAAATACAACGTCCTGTATTCCCAGTAGAAGTCATGGTTAAATATAAAACCCCATAACTCCCTCCATATGTTCATACTCAAGGTATATACGTTCCAAGAGTTTTGGTGCGTAATCTCTTTCAGTTTACGTTGTTTACATATTTTTAAACTTGATGACGACTCTTAAACCATAACACAATCAATCATAATAAATCATTATTCAAGCAATCAAACATACAAATTTAATTCTTGAATAATTAGTGACCGCATAATTTAATGTTGAATCATTTTTAAACCACCTCGGTGTTAAATAACACCTTAAGTGCATAGAGCACCGCAGATCCTATCCCTCGGTGTTTAGAACACCTTAAGTGCACATAGGCACCGCATAATATTTTATTCTTGTGTACTAAGACACTTGTAGCTCAATCCTCATGCTTGAAAGCACCAATAAAAATTATATGAACCATAATAAAATTCTCTTTTTATATTCCAAACCAAATTAAACATTTAGTTTAATTAAACATGCTCTCAATCATGCCAATAATAAAAATATAGTTCATATTCAACATGCCAATATGACTAATTCCAATCATTAATCCATCATAAATAATTCATACATCACAAATCAATCACCAACATCAATCCAATCACCAATTCCAATTCACACTTATCATGATACTACCATGGAATTAATTATACAAAGCCTAGCATGCTTCTATACACTTAAATAATTACCGAGTACGTGAACGTACCTTGAATATGATCTCAAAATCGCCTCGACTACACAAAATCACTCACTTGGAAATCTCCTACAACCCAAAATTACAAAGAGACATTTATACATATTCAATATAAATTTCCAGCAATATATACACTCTTTAAATCACTCATAAACCCTCTAAAACAAGCTGAAAATTAATTTAAAACCTTTACTTTTATTCCCAATTAATGGATACTTAAAAATCCATTCAAGAAACATAATTATAACCTTTATATAAAATTTTCAGCTTTATAAAAACATTTTAAATTGTTGTAATTATGTTAAAAACATCTAATTTAATAGTTTCAATCACCTACAATCAATTTCCATCAATATACATTAATTTAGAAACCTAGGGTTTTCAATTTGGGCTTTTTAATTCAAAAACTAAATCTGAAAATTATATACATAGTAATTATAATCAAACATCATAAAAATCATCACACAACCCAAAAACAATAATTAAATCAAGGCTAGATTAGGAATAAGACAAAAAGAATTATTTTTTTAAAAAAAAAAAACTTGCGCACAATAGGGGAAAAGAGGGGAGAGTGGTCGGTGCCACCTCTTCACGGCTGCTACTGCTGCCGGACTGTCCTGGCGGAAGCCGACTGTGGTGGTGGTGGTAGCCGGCCACTGATGGTGGTGGTGGTGTGCGTGTGATGTGTGTAAATTAAAAGGGGAGGGAAAAAATTAAAGGAGAGAGAAAAATAAGAGGAGAGAGAGAGAAAGTTTACCTTTGGGTTATTCTCCACCTTGGGCAAGATCTAACTTGCTCATAAGATGGGTATTTATACCCCCTCTCAAAACCCTCCAAAGCTTAAATTCTCTTCCTACCCTTAATGATCACTTCTCCTATTCAAATTAGTTATTTGACTTTTTAAAAATCCCATTGACTTTAAAACTTTCTTTTATAAAATCATTTGCCCCAAAGTTTCTAAATCATGAAATAAAATATTTCCAAAACTATTAAAATAAATAAAAATGGACCTTTTATTAAAATAATTATTTTTAAATTAATAAAATACCATAAATAATTCGTTTTGAATTATTTAAATACTTTATGAAATACATATTTAAATTAAAATATAAAAATACGGGGTATTACAGCACTGGTTTCTTCCGCCACTCCACACCAAGGACAAGAAGAGTTATCAAGTAGATGTCTCGACATAAGCAGAGATTTGGTAGGCAAGGTACTCGTACAAAATCTCCATAAGAAATGTCTAACCTTTGGTGACACCTCTATGCCCCAAATAGAGACCCAAGCTTGATGAAACTCCTCAAAATTACATCCTTTTCCAAGCATATATGATGTCTTGGTAGAGTAAATACCATCGTTTGAGAAAGCCCAAGTAAGAGAGTCACGAGGTTTTCTCCAATTCAAGGGAATGGAGAGAATGCATTTTTTATCCCTCTCATTGAAGCATTCCGAGATCAAATCTACATTCCATTCCATCTTATCCCAATCAATAAGGTCACTCACCAAAGAAATCTCACTAATCTCAACCGAAGTGACAAACCGGCCATGTTCAACCGCGAGCCAAGGATCCTTCCAAACATTCACAAGAGAACCCGTACCAATAGTCCATGTCACCCCTTCTTTTACTAAAGCTTTGGAACTCCATATACTCCTCCATGAGTAGCTTCCGCCATACCCAAGAGCTGACTCCAAGAAAGAGCAATTTGGGTAATATTTTGCCTTCATTACCTTCCCAAGTAGAGAATTTTCTTTATGAACTAACCTCCACGCTTGCCTACCAAGAAGAGCATCATTAATATCTGATAAATCTCGAAAACCCATGCCTCCTAAGCACTTAGGAGTACATAAAGATGCCCAACTTTTCCAGTGAATTTTCCTCCTAGTACCCTTTTGACCCCAGAAAGACCTTGCCATAGCCGATTCGATTCTATCAATAACAGAGCTAGGGAATTTATAGACCCCCATCAGATAAGTTGGAATAGCTTGGATCACGGATTTTAGGAGCACCTCCTTTCTGGCCCAAGAAAGAAGCTTTTCCTTCCAACCCTGCAACTTTTTCCACATTCGATCCAAAAGAGCCTAAAAAAATAGTAGTAGAGTTTGATTGGTGGAAAGTGAATGAAGAAATAAGATAGTGAAACTTTTGTTGATTAAAATTAAATACATAATTAGATATAGGCAGTATAAAACTTTTTATTTTTTTGAATACGTATAAAACTTATATATAGGGAATAGATTTTTAAGGAAAAATTAGAATTTTAATTAAGGTTGTGACATTTTGATTTTTGTAAGCTTGACACATGCTACTAGAGATTTTTGGTTTTAAATGGTAAGGAGAGGTATAAAAACCTAACCATTGATAGTCAATCTTTACATTTATTATAATTTTCATTGCCTCAACTGGTGTTATAAATTACCTTTAATTTTATTTAACACTACTAGAAAATAGTCAAATTTCGATAGAACAGTTCCGACGTACACGAAAATCCGTTGGAAAGTACAAAAGTTTCGACGAATTTTATTTCCATTAAACATCAGTCGGAAATTTCCGATGGAATTTTAATCCTTCGGAAAATTCTTTATTTCCCGCAGAAATGTTATATTTTCCGACAGAAATTAATTCCATCGAAAATTTCCGACGGAAATTAATTCCATCGAAAATTTCCGACGGAAATTAATTCCATCGAAAATTTCAGACGAAAATTAATTCCATCGGAAATTTCTGAAGGAATTAAACCACTTCCAACAGAATTATGATTAAAAAAACAAAAAACAAAACCCCCAAAACCCTAATTAAAACGGCGTCCCTCCTCCCCCTTTCATTTCTCATTTCTCTCTCCTCGTCTATTCTCTCTCTCCGCCTCTCTTCTGTTTCTCTCTCCTCTCATCTTCTCTTTATCTATCCTCTCCTCCTCTTCTCTTCTCACGCCCTTTCTCTTCTCAGATTTTTTCTCACGCCCCTCTCCTTTTCTTCTCTTCTTTGATATTTTCTCATGCCCCTCTCCTCTTTTCTAGTTTTTCTCACGCCCCTCTTTCTCTGGTGGTGGGTTAAAGACGATAATGGTGATGGTTTAAAACAAGTTAATGGTTTTTAAGGTTAAATTCGACCATGAAAATTCTAGATCTAGAGTTTTAATGGTCGAATTTGGCCTTATTAGACCAAGTTTAAGGTGAAATTCGAAGCTAATTCGATTTTTAAGGTATGTTTTAATGTTTTTAATTTTTGTTTTTGATTTTTTTTATTAATTTTTGGGTTGTGGTGGTTGGTTTGGCCGTTTGTGTTGATGGTTTTAGGTGGGTGGCTTTAGGTGTGGGTTCGGTCAAGGTTTGGGTTAGGGTTTGGGTGTTTTAGGTGGGTGGATTTGGGTTTGGGTTTGGTGGGGTTTGGTTAGGGTTCGATCAAGGTTTGGGTTAGGTGGGTCTAGGTTAGGGTTCGGTGGTGGTGGTGGTGGGTGTGGCTGATGTGTTTGCATGTGTGATGTGTGTGTGTGTGGTGGGTTTAAGGTTAAGGTGGGGATAGTTTAGATATGGGCTTAGGGTTAGTTTGGGGCGAGTGGTGGTCTAATGTGGGGGTAGTGGTGGTGGTGGTCTGATGTTGGGGTTGGATTTGTTAGGGGTTGAAGGTGGTGATACGCCGTGCCGATGGTGGTGCGGCGTGTTTTATTTTTTTATTTTTTTTATTTCACTGAAGCATTTTTCGACGGAAATTTCTGGCGGAAATGTGTCCGTTGGAAATTTCCGACGGACTTTTCGGGGCCGAAAAATCTCTTCAGACGAAAGAATTCCGTCGGAAAAGTGTTTCTGACATAATTTTCATCGGAAAAGGTCATATTTCCTACAAAATCTATTCCGACAACTGGTTCCGCCGGAATTTCTGTCGAAAACAGGTTTTCTGACGGAATTTAGGGTGTTTCTGACGGAATTTTTCCGTCGAAAATGGCCTGTTTTCTAGTAGTGTAATGGATTTCATGCTTACATCTATAGTCATGGTGGCATGCTGTTAATTGCAATAATAATATCAATTGGAGCTATTTAATTCAATTGGTAAATTCACAAAATTAACTTGATTGTTAAGCTAATTAAGTTTTTTCATCAAGCCACCAGAAATTCTTTCAATAAGACTACATTCATTGTACCCGATCTGACTTAATAACTAGTTTTGGTTGGATAGGATAATTAGGCCCTGTTCTCATAAGCTTTTGAGCAGAGCAGAGCAGGTGTCAGCAGAGTAGTAGTTGTTGTATAACAAAAACCTACAAAGTCAATCGATTTACAAGAAATTATTAGGGAGCCGAGATAGAATCTGGCCCCCACCCCTCTAGCTATAGCGAACCCGATCCTGTTGAAGATGTGAGCAGCTACATGAGCACCAATATCCTGAGTCCTAGTGAACGTCTGAACCCGCTTCAGCAACGCAACAACATCATTCTCTAATTCCCCAAATGAAGAAAAGGAGAAAGAAAGAAAACCATAGCCAATAGCCCTGCAACGCGCCCCATACTTGTCTCGCTTCCGCTGAGCCACAGCCGACACAACACAACCAGTCACGAAGTCAGACAACCCACATTGTGTCAAAGGAGAAGACCCCGTCAAGTTAACACATATATCAAGGCCTCTGTCCCACAAATAAAGCAACACATCTGCTGGTCGAAGAGCCCCATCGTTCCCTCCAGTCAACCCAACGTTAACCTCCTTTCTTGCAGAAATCCCAGAGCGAAAACAAATATCAACAAGGGTATCATGAACCGAGATATAATTCCGATATTGGGGCAGCAACCTCACTAGGGTTACTCATAAGGTCAGTCTCCACAGTCCTATCAAAAAGACTAAGAGCATCATCGAAGGCCGGTACTGGACCAACAATACCAGAATCGCAAAGAAGCGTAGCCTGAAGACCAATAGACTGCAAACGCAACGCAAGGAAAACATAGTGTCAAACATCACCCGTTGAATAAACACCCAGTCCATCATAAGCAAAAGGCAAGGTGGCAAGTCGCCATTGCCAATCAAGAAAACCAAGCCCCGAAGCAGTAACAATGCGCTCTAAAGAAGCCCGAAGGGCCACATCAAAAGAAATATGGGTCGCTTCAAAAAGACGAGGGGGCAAGTGCGCATAGCAAAGTAGAGTTTTGAAACCTCAGTACACGCACGAAGTAGTAACAACTCATATTGGGGATCATCAAGCTTAGCAACAACATCCATTAGAAAAATGGTCTTCGACAATCTCTGCAAAACAACCTCACCACAGAAAGAGGAATCTGCACTGATAGGACCACCAAGCAACTTAACACCCTGCACAATACGAGCAATATCTGGAGGAAAGACACCGATGAGATGGCTACATGGGTCCTCCGTGGGCCAGAAAACTTTTGTTTTCTCAACGTTTACATGGAGGCCGAGACGAGGTCCCTCCACCAAAATCAACTCCATAACCTTTCCAACCACCAAGGTATCACCAATAATAGTGTCGTCATCTAAATACCAAGCCTTCAAACATAAGTCAAAAGAATCCCTTATTCGAAATACCAACGATGGAGCACCAAAGCAAAAGGCAAAGGGCCAAGAGGATCACCCTGCTACATTCCTTGACATGACCATAAGATATGCTCCCCATAGAACAGCCTGACTGGAGTAGAGTAACAGAATTCAACCTAGCACGAGAGAGCTAGACAACGGAGACGAACTTCATGCAACAAAGTCGTACGGTCAACCAAATTAAAGGCATTCTGGAAATCCACCAGCACCATAGAGAGGCCAACATCACCACCACGAGCCTCAACCAAACGATTAACTACAAGAATAGCCTCACCACCTGCCGGCACCCCAACACCAAACTGAAGACCTCCTAAATAGTTTCCCATACGTGGACCAATTAAAGCAGCCCCAACCTTTGAAACCAAGCGCCTCCAAATGGTACCCACAGCAATAGGCCGAATACCACTTCCAAGCTTTACAAGCGGCGTGAAAGGAGCACTAGCAATATATTCTCCCAGCTCAGCAGGACATTTCCCAACGTGAAAGAGATTAACCACCTGCGTAATAGATTCCACCATCTCATCTGAAACAACAACTACAGCACCACTCAAGCAATCCATAAGGTGTTGAGCATGCAAGTCGTCTCTACCGCATGCCGTACCACGAGGAAAACCCCTAACCTGGTCCTAAACAACAACAAGTTTAGCAATAAGGGGATGATCAACGGGGATATCCAGTAAGATAGGAGCCGGAAAGGAAGGAGGCTTAGCTTGTAAATCCGCAAGAGTAGCATCATTGTAAGGGGCAAGACCAGAAGACAAAAAAACCCTAACCGCAGCAGTGTAATGTGCGTCATAAATCTTTCTCCTACATTGCTTAATATTACGCTTAGAAAAATCACGGTCCTCATCAGCATCCACCAAAGGAAAAGACACATCAGCCAACGCGTCCCGCACAAGATTCACAGAACCACCAGGCTCACACCAAGAACGAATAGCAACGTTGATAATTTCTTCCTGTCGTTGCCGCCTGACACCCGAAGAACACTCACGACTACTCTTGGGAGAAATGGTTTTAAGGCCACAGAGAGACAACACAAACAATTGAACCAAACAAGAGATGTCATCAGGCTTGCAAATCACCTTATCAAGCGCTCCTTTGAGAACCCGAGAAAAACCCAAGCGACACTTAGGAGGGATAGACTTCACCGAACAAAACCGCTTAGATAGCAAACTATCAAGGAGAGAAACATCAAATGCAAAATGAGGTTCACGAGGCACACTAGAAACAAGATCAGATACCTACGAAGAAGAACCTACGGTTTAGGAAAACCATAAAGAACAAACCGAGCAACACCATCCCCATATCATCAGAACTAGGACCATGTCGACACTTCGTACAAAGAGTATGTGTCTTGAAACACTCCCCACAAAGCCAAATTCCCATACGACGAAAGGTTGACTCCACCTCTAAGAAAATAGCTAAATCAGAACTAAGAGAGTTTTGGGTCATATCCCGCACATCCGCACAACAATGACGGTCACGAAGATAAGTGATCAAATATGCTTTAGAGAGCCCATTCCCCTCACCATCAAGACACCCATTAAGACCCACAAACGGGCAATGAAAGCGAACTAAAGGAGGCATAACACCCACCACAACTTGCCACGAGAAGATCACAATACCGCACACCACAAACTACACATGAAACGACCCAATATCGCACCAAAACTACACACCCAAATAACACCAACACCACACCAAAAAAACAGCACCAAATCCACACCGAAACTGCACAAAAAACAGCACCAAAAACACACCCAAACTGCACCAAACTGACCGCTTGAAAACTGCCCCAACTGACTAAAAACAACACTAATATTCGAGAGGATTACTGCCCGCAAAACTGGCCTAATAATTGCCTGAAAATTGCACCAAAAACGCACCCAAAAAATAGAGTAGAACCACGCCTGAAAACCTAGCAGAATTACACCTTGATTTCACCGAAAAACGCACCTGAAAGCTGCCTGAAAACGCACCAAAACCGCCCAGAAACAACCGATCAAGAAGACGCCCAAAAACTGCACCAAATTATTGAGCAAATCGCACCAATAAAAACGCCAAGAAACCTCTTGAGTTTCACTTGAAAGTCGCCTGACCTGAACGTACAACACGCAAACCGCCGGGAACTGCTTCCCGACTTGAACACGCCTAAAGACAAACACGCAAACCGCCTGAAAATCGCCATGAAATAGCCGCTTGAGACCGCTGGAGTCTGCCAGAAATAGCAGTTGCCGCAGTGGAAGCCGCCTGATCATGGAAGTCGCCGGAACTTGGACGTGGAAGCAGCCCTAATCACCCATAAAGATCGCCGTTATTATTATTATTATTATTATTATTATTATTATTATTATTATTATTTTTCAAAAACTATCAAAGTCATACAACCTATAATAAATTAGTGGAAGCCGAGAAACAATGTGGGCCCCCACTCCTCTAGCTATAGCAAAGTCTATCCTAGTGAAAATATGAGCAGCAGCACGAGTCCATATGTCTTGAGTTATCGAGAACTTCTGAATCTACTTCAGCAATGCAACATCCTCCTTCTCTAATTCCCCAAGTGAAGAAACTGAGAAGGGAAGGAAACAATATCCAATTGCCAGACAACTAGATTCGTACTTGACCCGTTTTTGATAAGCCGCGTCAGCCACAACGCGTCCAGGAACAACGTCAGATAACCTATATTGTGTCAAAGGAGAAGACCCTGTCAAGTCAACATAAACATCACGGCCACGATCCCAGGAATAAACAAACACATCTACAGGTCTGAGGGCCTTGTCGTTCCCTCAAGACAACCCAATGTAAACCTCCTTTCTTGCTGAAATCCCAAATCGATAGCAAACTTCAACGAGGGTATTTCGAACAACATTATGACGATGTTTAATACCCACAATTCTAGCACCCGACACCGCATGATCACTGAAAATATCCCCAGTAAAAACCCTTGAACAAGCAGAGCACGGCGTCGAGACAGTGAACATTGGAATACCCAACCGGTAGCATAACACACCCGGTAAGTCTTTGGGTTCATCATCTGACCCAACCCCGAAATAGGAATCAGCCAAAGCCAAGCAGAGGTGTGATCTCCCTGCTACGATTTCCACAATGCTGATAGTCGAGGAGATAAAGAAAAGGTAGATTTTGTAGAAGCGGTAACCTTTTTGAAATATATATCTGCCAAATTTTTCATGAGTTTAGGGGCAGCGACCTCACTAGAATTACTCAAAATGTCAGACTCCATTGTTCTATTAAACAGACTCAACGAATCCTCATCAAAGGCACAACCAAGACCAACAATGCTAGCATGCAGCGGAAGCATTGTCTGCAACCCAGCAGACTATAACCGAGAAGCAAGAAAAGCATAATGACGAACATCACCTGCAGAATAAACACTAAGCCCTCCAAAGGCAAATTGTAAGGTGGCAAGCCGCCACTGCCAACCGCCAAACCTAGGCCCCAAAGTAGTAACAATATGCTCCAAGGAAGATGAAAAAGCCTCATCCAATGTGCGCTGAGCTACCTCAAAAGTACTAGCTAGGAGCACAAGTACGCAAAGCAAAGTAGAGTTTACAAACTCAGGCACATGCCCTAAGCAACAACAGCTCGCACTGAGGATCATCGAGCTTAGCAACCCTATCAATAAGCGCAATAGAGGTATCACCATTATCATCATCATTATTATTATTATTAGTATTATTATTTAACGTATTTCTTATCATTATGCTTATTCGCTTAATAATTTTTTTAATATTTTTAATTGTTTTTATTATCAATAAAATAATTATCTCTTTTTTTAACGCTACAATTATAATATTTTATTTTCACTTTTAAACATCTCTTTATTTATTAGTAATTATTAATTATGATCTATTATTTATTAATGCTACTAAATATTATTTATTACCAATTGGTTGTTGGTGAAGTGGTGATTGGGACTACACTTGATAGGGAGTACCGCGTGTTCGATCCCCCACAACAACAATTGGGAGGGGACTGAAACCTAAGCACCCTAAACTGATCCCCGAATCCGGATTATCCCAAAGGGTGAACCGGGTGGAACACCAAAAAACAAATTATTTATTAATTATTAAATAATAACTATATATTATTAATTTTATTATTTATTAATTATTAATTATTAATTTTGTTAATTATTAATACTAAGCAGAGCATATTTCAGCAGAGTAAAGAAGGCCCAGTAAAGAAGACCAAAGCAGTTCAAAAGAATAGGGCCTTAATTAACAACTATGTTAACAAATTGTAAAATTATTTTTACTAGATGAAGCCCGTGCGATGCAAGGTTTCTTTATATTTTTTCAAATAAAATATTTTACTAATTTATATTTATCTAATAAACTTTGTGATATTTTCTTGCTTAGTACTTGAATTTTTAATTATAAATTAAATTATTAACTTTGTTTCTCATATTTAGATAAAATTCGTAATATAAAGAGATAATATTTTATTTCACAAAGTTTCATATTTGGCTGGTCACACCGTGTGGTCGGGGTTACTTGGTCAGGAGTAACTTGGTTGGTCAAGGGTTACTCAATCGATCAGGGGTTACTCGGATGGTCAGGGGTTACTCGGTCAGTGTTTGGGTGTGTCTTTGCCAGCCACACGATATGGCCAGCCACAAAAAAAAAAAGCGTTGATTTTATTTTTATAATAAATATAAAAATTTTGATCTAAAATAAATTGCAATTCTTTTTTTATTGGCTAAAATATAACATTTTCTTATGTGACGCTATAAAATTAATCATATGTGGCATAATCCTATTGTAGTGTTTTAAAATTGTTAATCTTATGTGGCGATTTTTTATTATAATCCTACGTAGCGCTTTAAAAAAACTAATCTTGCGTGACAATATCCTATTGTACAGTTTTAAAAATATTAATGCTAAGTGGCGCTCTAATAATTTTTTAAAATTAAAATCCTACATAGCTATATATATATATATATATATATATATATATATATATATATATATATATATATATATATATATCGAAATACACGAAAATATGGTTCACCAAATCAAGCATGAGCTTAAGATAATCCTAAACTGAAGACATTGTTTTATGTAATGTGTTGCCAACATCAACAACGAACCGATATCTAACATGACCCTTAGAAAGACGATCCATGGCCGTGTTTATGTAATCCATTGGAATCACTTCAACATCTGCCTTAATGTTATGTTTTGCTGCAAAATCCAACATTTCTTGTGTTTCTTTCATCCCTCCAATTCCACTTCCAGCTATCATCTTCCTTCCTGTTAATTTGGAATTAACCACATTAGTTAGTTGTATTTAATTTTAGGAATAATTGCTTAGAATACTCTAACTTTGCCCCATTCGCTCAAAATAATCCCAACTTTATACCCTTTTAATTTTAAACAGTTCCAAGTGACTTGGAACCAGCTAAACAGGTAATAAAATAAATAAATAAATGAAATCAATGATCACAAAAAAAGAGTAAAATCAAATGAAAAAAAAAAACCCACCACCACCTTAGTCACACCAGCTCAGCCACCAATATCTCCACCCCACCCAAACCTAGACCCCGGAACCACCACTCCCACCTCCACCTTGACTCGAAACCACCACCCCCCACCCAACCAGACCCTCATCCTATCCTAAAATACCACACCTTTGAAAACCAAACAATCCCCATTACTTGTTCTTCATCTTCATCTTCAAAATTTGAGGTTGCAAATTGGAAATTTTGGGAATGGGAAGTAGGAAAGGCATGGCATGCAGAAGACAATAAGACATTGGAAAAGAGAGAATTGAGTGGTGAGGGTGGTTGCGGTTCAGGTCGGGGTTAGGGTTTCGGGTTTGGGTGGGTGAGGGTGGTTTCGGTTGAGGGAGGGAATAGGGGGCCAGAAACTTGGCGGGGGAACGGGAGGGGGGCCGGAAATGGGACGGGGAAGGGGAAGGGGAAGAGATGCCGGCGGCAGCAGCCTCCCGGCGGTGGTAGCGGCTGCCGGCTAGGTTTGGGTTTTTTTTTTTTTAAAAAAAAAACTTTTTGAAATGTTTTTTTAATTTAATTTTTTTTATTTAATTTTTTTGACCTATTACATGCCAACACGTGTTAGATAACTTGCTATAACAAGTTAGATGACTGATTGGGACCATTTAAAGCGAATGTATATTAAAGTTCGAATTATTAAAAAATATTCAAAAGTTGGGATTATTTTGGACGAATGAGGCAAAGTTCGGATTATTTTGGGCAATTTTTTCTTAATTTTGCGTAGGAGAACTAATTTTCTGTTTTTTTTTTTTTTTTTTTTTTTTTTTTTTACAAAGATTTACTTCCATTGCATTATTGCTTAACCTATGTTCCCTTCACATTACGTAAAATAAAAAACAATAAAGTCTATTTTATTTACTACTGTAATACAAATGTACGGAGTTATTAAAATCTTCTTGTTTAAAAATAGGGTAACAATATATGCAGCCCTAAGAGATATAAATAAGCATTTTTTTTATATTCTTTTTCTTCAAAAAAAAAAAAAAAAAAAAAAAGAGAGAAGCATTTTATATATTCTTAAATGGATGTCAATAACTTAGAAATGGATGACTAATTATGTGTTAATTGATGAAATTTATGTTTTACTTGTTATTTCCACTTTTATTAGGACTTTATATAATACACGAAGTATCTTTTCCCAAAAAAAAAAAAAAATTAATTAATTGCGTAATAAGTTTCAATTTGTAAACTTTATTTTTCAATAAAATTTATCTAATCAGTAAACAATACGGAGTAGTTGTAATAAAATATTATCTTATGACATCAATACGGAATAATATGTTATTGTAATTTTGAACATTAATTGAGTCATGTAAAGTAAATGATCTTCACCCCAAAAAAAAAAATGTAAAATAAATGGAGCCTTTATAGCTAGGGATGTCAGTGGGGCGGGTCAAATAGGAGACCCGCCCCATCCCCGCCCCAACGGGGCGGGGATGGGTCTTGGTTTGGCGGGTGATGGGACAAGGATGGGGATAAAAACCATACCCGCCATGGGTGATGGGGCGGGGGTGGATTTTAGGTTGTACCCGCCCCATCCCCGCCCCGCCCCACCCGCCCCACTTCGTACCCGCCCCATCCCCACCTACCCCATTTCGTACCCGCCCCATCCCCACATTCATATATTTTTAAAAACAAAATTATATACTTTTATACTATTTTATAAAAAAATTATGTAAAATAAAATAGTAAATATAATACTTTGTAATACACTTATATTATAAACAAATAAATGTGTAATATTAACAATAATTTTTTTCTTTTTGCAACCTTTATTAATTATGAAGGATTGTGTATTTGGGAGGCGGGGATTAGGCGGGTCTTAGGTGGGGATTAGGTGGGGGTGGATATCCAAGTGGGGGTTGGGGCGGGGATGGTTTTGGAATTGTACCCGCCGGGGCGAGGATGGGGATGAATTTTAGACCTGCCGCTGGGATGGGGATGAAAATTTTAGATGGGAATGGGGATGGGAAGGCCAACATCCGTCCCGCCCCGCCCCATTGACATCTCTATTTATAGCACTCATTTCTTTAATTTTTTCCATAATTGACTTAAATAACAGACAAGACGATATAGATAATAAAGTGGGCTAATGGGCTATGCATTTTTATCAATGGAACAATACTTACTAGTACAGTCTAGTACACCTAATTGGTAAATTATCCAATTAATTAACGTGAAATATTGTTGAGAATCCAACTTTTTTACCACTCTATTTTATATGAGTAACTAGTGTGTGGCTCGGGCGAATTACTAGTTTGTAATTAGCGTTTGATTATTTTGCTTAATGTATTAGGAGAAACATATTCAATATTTTGTGTGTTACTTTCAAAGATATTCAACTATTGACTATTTAACAAAAAGTTCTTATTTTTCATCAAATCGTAAAATACAATTTTTTGAAGTTGTTAAATTATCCTATGATATGTAACAAATAGTACAATTAAGGAGTAATCATCTTATCCAAGTTAACTATAATTTTGTATATACATTTTAATTCATGTTGTGGAGGTGACGTGACATGTTTATAGTATTTAAAGAGGTGACACATGGCACATATTGATGTCTTGACACGTTTATAGAGCTTAAAAGGGTGACACATGACGCACATTCTGTTTTAAAATGCTTTTTAATATCTAAAAATAAATTAATGTATAGATATAGATATGTGGGTAAGTTATATACGAAGTAATAGTTAAATAAATGTGACTTTCTCCATATACTTTTAATTACCACGAAAGCATAATAAATAATGGAATTGTAAACACGATATAGAGATGGACATTAGGGGTAGGGAAACGGCAATTATAAGTTTATAATAATATGATAATAACAATGGTGGAATTGTTGACCGGGAAAAAAAAATCTAAAAAGGTCAAGTTATTTGGCTATTGAAAGAGTATTTGAGATTAAGTTTCACTGAAAACAGTTTCAAAAACAATGGTGTACTTTTTAGCGCGTTTTTTGTGTGGCTGGCTAAATTATATGACCGCTTGTAAAAAAAAAAATAGATCAACCCTTATAACACTGATATAGTAACCTCTATTATACTGACAGAGTAACTCATTATTATACTTATTGAGTAACCCTTAAATAATAAGGTAATCCCTATATTACTAACAAAAGTAACCATTATAACTGTAACAGTGTAACCCAATAACACTAGCCAAGTAACCTATGATGGCTGACTATACTATGTGGCACATATAAAAGTTAGTGATGGTGTTTTAGGGGATAGTAGAAACTATTTCTTTTCGTGAAGTTAATTAATTAATTTTATTTTCTTTTGTGAAAACATAATTTTTTTTGTTTTTATATTTTTTTTTACTTTTCAAAATTAACTAAAATTTATTTTATTTGTTTATATGAAAATTGTACTTTTTTCAGTTTTTTAACACATATTAAAGTTGTACTTAGTTTTGCTAAAATGTATGTTAAAACAAAACCCTGATACCCAAAAGCTATGTTCACCAAATCTAATTTTTGCTAATTTGTTTGGTCTAAACTAATCAAATGAGATGTCATTACAATTACACTTTCCAAATATGAAATTTTCGTATTTATTAGATTACACAATTAGATCTCTCTCTCTCTCTCTCTTTTATTTTTAGTTTTTTATTTTTATTTTTTAAATTTAAGAAACAATTAAAGATCTTTAGTGATAAATAAACACATACAAATAATTAAAAGTATGTGACTTGAATAGTTTGAACATATCAAGTACATCAATTTAAATTAAAATAAGCCGAACAGAACATAGCCCAATAATTCGTAGCAACTATAATGCATAGTTGAATAAAGTAATGTATGATTACCTCCAAGCAAAGTGAAGATAGGCACTTGGAGAGGCTTTTGGGGTACACCAACCACAATAAGCTTTCCATGAGACTTAAGTAAGTGAAGTAGGGTCTCGATTGAATGATCAGCGGACACGGTGTCGATGATCCCGTCCATAGTGCTCGTTGCTGCCTACATTAGTGCCACATTATATTATTTTTACTAGTGACTTATGATATCTTCATTTTCTTTTAGTAGCCACCATATAATGTAATCTTCGTCTTTTTTTGTTATACTACTTTTAATAATAACTTCATTACATAATGGTTCTTTTTAAATAAATACTAAATTTAGACAATAATATAGAGTGCCTCACATATCTATCTTCATAAGATATAATTTATCCTTAACATGTGAATGGTGTCAAATGTGTGAATTATGGACCTAACTCAATTATTTGACATGCATATTAAATAATACGACATAGAAGATATATGTTGCAAGATAAGATGATAATAAAACAAATTATGGGTTTAATAAATAAAAGTATGATTTTATGATTATAAGGGTATGATCCGTACAATGTTTTATTAAACCATACTATTCTATATACCGAGTGCCTTTTAATAGTGACTAGTATTTATATCCAGTCCTAGCCTTCTACCAGTCAAATTAAGATAGTTAGACAGTTAGAGGAGTACTTTCAAAAAATCGATAGCAAGAAATTACTTTAAGAGAAAATTTTACAATTACTTGTATAATTAAATAATATGCATTACAACCTACTTGTATTAAATAAGCTCTAGCAAATTATTTTACTTCCTCCTTTTTTTTAGTAGTTGTTTCATTATGACTTTTGACACACTATTCACTAAATTCACACCGATTAATGTTTTGTTTCTCATAATGAAAATTAAATATGTTCCTGCAAAACCTTGTTATATTCACATGTCTAGATATTTATATTTTTAGCAATATAATATACTTATATTTAAGAGTCAAAATTATACGCCAACAAAAGTGTTAAGTCAAAATAAAACAACAAAAATAGTAAATACCTGTAATTGATCTTGGTCATGACTATTCAAAAAAAGGTCAGCACCAAAACGTTCCAAAGCTTCCTTACACTTGCTAGGAGAAGTACTAATAACAGTAACCTTCAACCCAAATGCTTTTGCAAATTTCACAGCCAAATGACCAAGCCCTCCAAGTCCCACAACCCCTAAATGCTTTCCTCTTTCATCAAGCTCGAAATACCTCAACGCGCTATACACCGTGATTCCGGCACAAAGTAGTGGCGCACTCGTGTCGAGGGGAAGATCATCAGGGATTCGAACAACGTAATGTTGGTCCGCCACCATTTCATTGGAGTAGCCACCATAAGTTGTGGTTCCATCATAGTCTTTGCCAGAGTAAGTGAGGATCATTTTAGGGCAGTAATTTTCAAGGTTTTTTGCGCATGACTCGCACGTGCGACATGAGCCAATCATGCATCCTACCCCAACTTTGTCTCCGAGTTTAAATTTAGTGACCTTGGTGCCAATATCAGTCACAACTCCCACAATCTCGTGCCTTATTGAATTTTAAATGATCAAAGGTTAAATGCTTAGAGCTTTTTTTGAGAATGTAAAATAATCTAGGAGAAAATTAAAGATTGTCTACAATAGCTACATATGACTAAAAATAAAGTAATCAAGTACATATAGTATGGATTGGAGTATCAACATATATTGTACTAAACTTATATTAGTCTATTAGATGTGTTTGTTTTATCTTATTTTAACTTGTATATGTAAATGACTTAATTCAAACAAAATACGACAAATTAAGGTTTATGTCAAAATCTATTCAGTCAATAGAAGGGTTTTTAGCTATTCAAAAAAATAAATATATATATATATAGAAGGTTTTTTCCAAGAAAATAAATTAAACTAAATAATTTTAGACAAAATAAAGCCTCACATGCATCAAGAGATCATTTTTATAATGTTTGGCTAATTAATTGTCATACATGATCGAAGACATTGTTGAGTTAATATTCTCAAAACTAAACGTTTAAATAATTCATCAAATGGACACTGCCTAAAAGATTTTTTTTTTTTTTTTTTTTAAATTGATTTTAGGGATGATACGAGCACAAATATAGACATATGATAGGAAACCAAAAGCCTCCTAGTGGGAGTTAATCCCATGACCTTGTGACATACAAAGCAGCAAAAGAATTCATATTTTATTATAGATACGAGGAAAAATTAGAAGAAATTAACACAATGGAGTAATTAAAATTTGTTAAACATGGTTAATAGGAGTAACAAATAACATAGTATATTGATAATTACCCGGGAATAAGTGGGTATGATGAAATTCCCCAATGATTCTTGAGAAAATGAAGGTCTGTGTGGCATATTCCACAGTACATCACCTTAAATCTCACATCCTTTTCTCCTGTCATCCTACATTCATTTTTGAAAATTTAATTTATTAAGCAGTTGAAATTGATAGAGTAATCCTACAATTCCTTTTATGTTTGTTCCATTTTAAATACTGATTATTCCATTTGAAGAGATCAAAGAAACTTTATGATTATTTATCGATAAATTAAATATAAGAAAAACATAAATTCATATGTTAAATTAGTTACAGTTTAATAAGATTATGGAGTACATATATGAAATTAAAGATATTGTTGCTCAAAAGTATTTAGCTAATAAGTTGTGAACGTACAATTATAACAAGACAAACTTTAAAAAGGATTTCGTAAACTTTAATGTTTAAGAAAGCTGAACTTTTAGATCAATATGATGAACTGAATTTTTAAAATTTTAAAATGAAAGAAGTGAACCACAGGTTCAAAATATGAATTATTAAAATGAGTATGCAACAAAATATACTGTTATATCAAACTTGTTATAATTTCATGTACGATTATTAACTCTAGTTTTATTTATTTATTTATGCACCATTATAAATCATAAAACAACGCAAGATGTACACATACGAATGTTTTATAGTGCACACATTAGCTATGACCTAGGGGATAATACCTTCTAGAGAAGTAGAAGGGAGATAAAATTCCGGACTCGTCTCGAGCGGCCCATCCGTAAGTCTTTACTGGATGTACGGCGGCCTCTTGTTCTTCTACATATTCAGAGTGTGCCATTGTTGAATGAAGGTGAACAAATGCAAGCTCACAGGCTAATTTAAGAAGGATAAGTTTGTATTTTTGTAACAAATAAATTGACAGTAGAGAGTGAGAGCTAGGGCTGCTAATAAATACCAGTCTTTTTTTTTCTTTTTTTTTTTTTTTTTTTTGAAGCAATAATAAATACCAGTCTAAATATATAGATTATAGACATATCTAGGAATAATAATTAGATTATAATCAAATCATGTATGTGCGTGATATGCACTAGACAATATCTTATGTTTTGTCTTTTAGAAAAGGTTATTGGTATTTTGTTACACATCAACTCCACTCTTAGTTGTCCCACCGACCTCCTGTAGTTGTATGATTTGAGCCTAACTTGATTGTTTCTTTGAACAATATCTTGTCATTTGAGAATTAATTATTGGACTTTATATTGAAATCCATCCCAAATTACACAAAGTTATGACTTTTTTTTTTTTTATTATTATTATTCGAAATAATCTACTTTGATTACTCCTTCAGGTTTTTTTTAAAAGCTAAAGTTGGAATTTTCCTCTATTCATATGTCATCATTGATTTAATTATTTTACCAATATATAATATATAAATATGATCATATAATATGTTGTTAGATTTGCCATAATGCCTACTTTTATAAATTAATTTTTCACAATTTTTACTAACCTCTAATTAAAGATATTGATGGTCAAAGTTGTGTCTCAAAAAAAATTGCAAATACAACTCTAGCTTTAAAAAAAAAAAAAAAAAAAAAAAAAAAAAAAAAAAAAAAGGGGGGAGTATTTCTTTTTTCAAATATATGAAAGTAAATATTATGAAACAGATGGAAGAAGTTGTATCTTAATACATACTACCTCCATTTTTTTTAGTTGACACGTTTTGACTATATGCACTATTCACATAACTTACTTTGACTTTATTTTATGATTTCATGTTAGATAAAAACATAGTCATGTGGAATTTTGTTAGTTTTGTTTCACGTCTGGTATCCAAATATCAAAATTTTATAATTTTTGCTAATACGCAATTAAAGATACGTAGTATTTACATTTAAAAGTATGCGTTGACAAACGTGCATAAATGAAATGTGTCAACTAATAAAAAATAGAGGAAGTACTTTCTAAATATTAAACTTTTTATAGTTTTTCCTAACATATAATATATACTTTCTCTGTTTATTATTATTATTATTATTATTTCACCATATAGGTCGGGCACAATGATTTTGGTAGCTAGTGAGTAATAATAAGAGAGAGAAAGATAAATAATGCAAAATTATCTATGTGATGTAAATATAATAATATAAACTAAAAAATGAGTGTGAAAAGTAAAGGTATGTTCGATATTTATCGTGTGAATAAAGATACTTTTTGTTCTAAAATAAAAATGATTTAATATTTGTGAAACTTTTTTAAAAGGCAAGTGAGGCAATTATTAAAAAACGGTGGAAATATTGAAGATAAAAGTAACATCCTAAAACAGTTTACATATTGCAAGTGATTTGATTGGGACAGATATAGATGAATTAAAAACAAAAACTAATTTTTAGGTTAGAAAAATAGATTATTCATTAGGCGTTGACATTTGAAACCTGTGGTCTGTGGAGGATGCTAGCCATTGTTATTGATCTGATTAGGTGGATGTTTGTGGGTTTTCTCCTTTGTCTTTTTTGTTCTACTTCCTATAAATCCAATCATTGATCTACTAGCTAGAATATTCCATTTGGGAGAAGGTCTGGCGCATAACTCATATATGCAAACATTGTATATAGGATGACAATGTAATAATAGAGTTGAAATTATGATGGAAGTATAATTTACCATTTAATAGATAACTAGTATCATTAAATGTTGTAGTGGTATAAATATTTTGCTAATAGTATAAATAAGTATGTAAATGGTACATCAAAATATTATACCACTATGAGATATAATAGTACTACTAAGATATAATGGTACAATATACATGCATAATAGTATAAAAAATGTACCACTGTAACCATAAAAGTATCATTTTGAATGTCAAATGACTTATTGATCCTGTGAATTTACGTTTTTACCCACCTATATGCAAAAACTGTATATAGGGACTATACGACTAGTGGGACTCTTCCATTTGGCTAGTTCTTGTTGTGCCTCGTGGCCTCATCAATCTTTTTTGTTTTTTGTTTTTTTTTAAGGGATATATTACTTGTATGATTAATATAATCATAATAATAATATACTAGTATAGCACCCGTTCGATGAACGACTTACGAATCTTAATAGTCATATCCATTTCAACAAATTTGAAATAAATGATTTAATGAGTAATAATGAATTTAATTACAAAGATGTCTTAATCATACAATATATTTTTAACCCTCAAAACAATGATATTCTACTTGAATACAACTTTTTTATTAAATTCTTAAATTGTTGTAAAGATTTGAAAAATAATTCAACTCAATAAACTGACCGTCAATACTCTAAGGCCTTGTTCACTTCATCTTAAAAAACAAAAATAATATTCAGTAAAAATAATTTCATTTCTGCAAAAATAATTTCAGTTCAGTAAAAATAAGTTCATTTTAGTAAAAATAATTTCAGTTTAGTAAAAATCAGTAACTTTAAAGAAGAAATATAACATAGAATTAGTAAATTAATTTCAGCTCAGTAAAATTAATTTCAATTCATTAAAAATAATTTATGTTCAGCAAAAATAATTTCAATTCAACAAAAATAAGGTAAAGTGAACGGGGCCTAAGTCATTTTTTTTTTTACTCATTTCTACTTGAGTGATTGGCTACCTCATTTTAAAAATGACTATCCTCCATCATCTAACTCAATATATGTTTGAAAAAGTTCCGTCAAAATAACAACATGATCATTGTATATATAACATTGTACTTTGTATATCACAAATAATGTCATATCTTTTTTTTTCCCTCTATGGCCTCTTAAAACACTTCGAAATTTAACATGAAACTTGTAACAAATAAAATTTTGATATTCCCAAATAACATGAATTAGCTTATCTCAAACTCATCCGTATAAGCCACGTCTTTTTATAAACATTTGATAATTTAATATGTATATAAATATATTATTTCTCATATATTTCTTTCACTCGTGGTGGATAAATTTTTTGAAATTATCTTGCCCCATCACTTACTGTCTTTTATTACACGTTGAATCCACCTCATCACCACACACCTATAACACATCCAAAAATTTACCCGTCTAAAAATTGAGGAAGTAGTAATGCAATATTGTTATGCATTTCCAAATGCATAATATATTAAAATATTGAAAAGCACATGGAAAGGAGAGCAAAGAAAGAGAGATATAGGTAATTGGGATAACTTTAATTATACCACTAAAAGATTATACAATACTATTGATTATTTTGTGATACCATATCTGCACGTATTTAGTACCACTAAATGTATATATAGTACCATTACATACATACTCCCTCCATCCCAATATATAGTTCCTGTTTGTGTTTTTTCACGGTATTTAAGAAATGAGAGGAGAAAGTGAATGAAGTACATAAATAAAGGTGAAAAATACAATTATAGACAAAAGTTAGAGAAGAGAAAGTAAATGAAGTACATAAAAAAGGTGAAAAGTACAATTATAGACAAAAGTTAGAGAGAGAAAGTGGAAAAAAGTACAAATTGAAAGGAATGATGTCCTTCCAACAAGTGCATTATTCCGATAGAGGGTTCGGAATTATTAGAAAGCTCATTCTTCAGTGAGGTCAAGTGAACGGAATGCCTAGGTGGAGGCCGCTTCCGATCAGTAATATTAATATATAATTAATATTACAGCTCAATCTTGACTGAACCCTTCGGGTCGCACCCCAATCCAATGACCGATCCGAGACGACGAATCAATCCGAAGGATTAGATGAGTCAATAGAGTATTACAAACAAAGACGTTGGATCTCGAGCTTAGAGCGTCGAAACCGAACGTCGTAAGTCGAGTCGAATTCAGAATTTGACGAGACGTGAAATCAAACAAGCGACAACTGCAAGCTAAGCCGTAGCATCGCATTGGCATACCCATGTGAGTGCTAGGCTAGCATGGGCCACCAACCGCAACGTATGGCTATGCCGCAAGCCAAGCATGCATATGCGTGCTAAGCTCGCTGGCCGAGCATGCGTGCAAGGTTGGTGTGCCTAGTCGCACGCATGCTAGCGTGCCAATGTGCTAGTCCTCGCATTGCCGCAGCTAGGCTGCGCTTAGCTCGCAGCATCTGGGCGTCGCTAGCACTCGCACAGCACAACTCGAACATCGCAAGCAGCGTGTTATGTGTGCGTGTGCTATGGCTCTGCATGCTTTCTAGCATAGCAGCACCTGCCACAAGCAGTAGCCGGGCCTCGCTAGCACACGCAACGCAGCAGCAGCCCGCATTGCGTGGCTTGCTTGCTGCGTTCTTACGTATGCGGGCTGGCCTGCTAGCCTAGCCAAGGTGCCAGGAGCCAGCTAGGGATTGCCAAGGCGAGCTGTCAGCCAGTTGTGCGTAGGCTGCTCATGGGCTTTGGAGGGGACCGGTTTATGGGGATTGCTTGGGGAGCAAGGGGATTTTGGTCCCCCCCCTATGGTGGTCCTCACCTACCCTTGCCCACAATTTGCCACTTGGCGCTTCTTGATTCATTTGCATTTTAAATTGTTTTTGGATCAAAATAAATTGAGCAAAATGCAATTCTCCCACATTGAAGGGAGATGAGAAATAAAGACTCCCTTCCCTATAAATACCCATGTTATGGGTTTGGGAAGAAGCACTTGAGTTGAACTCAATAAGGCATCTCCTTATAAGTTACAAAACCTTTAAGTTCGTAATACTCCAGTATTTTGTTGGTCTAGCCTCGACTAACCTTCGAGGTAGAGACCGCTTGGGTCAGGTCGAGGGTGCGAGCCGTCGGAGGCTTACGCACTTGCAAAGCTAGAGCTTTCAAGTAAGAGTTCGTAAGCGAGCGAAGCACGCATCGAGGGTAAGGTCGTCTTTCCTCTTTCTCTCTCATTTGTTGTTTAATTATGTGATTGCATGTTTAGTTACATTAATTATTGTGCGGGTCTTGGGTGGGTTTCATTCCGCGTAGTGTCGGACACAACGAAACCCAACAGCGGTATCGGAGCCGCGCTCATTTTAATTATTGTAACTAATAATTAATTAAGGTGATTTAAAATGGATTTTAGTTTCTAGTTTTGCTTTCTAATTAGATTAGAAGCTCGTATTAATTAGTTTTAATCTCGTATTTATACTAATTTTGGCTCACGAACCCAGATTTCGACCCAAAAATAGTGAATTTTGGGTGAAATCGATGTTCTAAATCGTTTTTAACCCTATTTTAGAACTGTCTAGAAGCCAAAATCCACACAGAAACATATTTTTCGAGGGGTTATTCGTTTTTGACAAAAAATTTTAAATCTTTAAACCTTGATTAATTATGGCATGTTAAAGGTAGATTATATGTGTGGTTGCATCACTAATCTACTTCAATAATAAACCTTATTAAGCATGTTTATGAAGTCATATTTGGTGCTTAATTTGGTGAGCTCATTTCTCACATAAACTTGAAATTTCACATTTTTGCAAATCAATTGCTTCAAGTGTGAATGTTTATGGTGAATTTGTAATTTTGAAGTCCCTTAAAAATGTTACAGATCCAATA